CATACACCCACAGACACACAGATATGCCCACATACACCCACAGACACACAGATATGCCCGCATACACCCACAGACACACAGATATGCCCACATGCACCCGCAAACACACAGATACAGATACACAGATATGCTCACATATACCCGCATACACCCACAGACACACAGATATGCCCACATACACCCACAGACACACAGATATGCCCACATACACCCGCAGACATGCCCACATTCACCCGCATACACCCACAGACACACAGATATGCCCACATACACCTACAGACACACAGATATGCCCACATACACCCGCATACACACACAGATATGCCCACATACACCCGCAAACAAACAGATATGCCCACAGACACACGCAAATGCCCACAAACACACAATATTCTGATGTTCAGGTTGTGTTTCTACAGGTTGTGGCTTCTCAGGCTGCTCTCTGCCATTACCTTGACGACAACAGTTGCTCTGCCCTCATCATCCTGGGCTTTGTCATGATGTCTCCGCTGGTTGTGGTTGCTGCTGCCACGTTCTGCGCTCTTCTCAGGCGGCTCCACCTTCTCTTATATTTTCAGCCAATCGCAGAAGCTCGGTACCAAGGGCGGGGCTTGGGCTGGAGGCGGGACATCCATGCCTGGGTTTGACTGACAGACGCACCCACCATTCTTAGGTCAGCGTCCGAGGTGACCTTTAGCAGCATAGTGTAAAGGTCAAAGGGTGAATGATGTCACAGGACAGCGACGGCGTTACCGTAACTCTATAGAAACATAATCATGTAAAGTGTGTAACACAATGTATATAATATATCCCTGAATGACCAAAATATAACTCTGGAAATGTTTTTAAGAGAATCCTGTTTCAGCCAATTCAATCTTTTCACATGATTGAGAAATTGATGCAAAATTCAAGAGTAAGTGTTACTGTTACCATATTATATTATATGACTACTTTATTTCCGCACATGCTAGATTCGTTAAGTCTGTTTGCGCGCAATATATGACGATGCTCTGTGCGACGCGATCACACAAATGCACATCATCACAATGAAAAATATTTCTTTGTTCTGAAGAAAACCAAGGTGTTACAGACTTCTATGTAACGCGATTTGAGTGTTACCAAACTGACGTTTCGTGGTTTATGAATAAGTGTAGTAGTTTAGAGATGAGCTTTCTCGCTCATGTCGATGTTTATATTGGTTGGTCAGCTGTGTGATTCAAATGTGCAGAAATGTTAATAAACCAACTGAAATCAAATCTGTGGTTGGACTTCATTTTGGAAAGTCTTGGTGAAATCTGAAGCGTGTATTTAGATCAGACCCGTCCCAAAAGCCAGCGCTGTAAAAATATCTCGCAATTATAAATTCATGAGGCTCAGAAATATTCCTGGTATATAGAACACAAGAGAAGGACGCTAAATCATCCAGAAACATCAGTCTGTGTATGGTCACATCATGTACATACAGTATGTAATGTTTGTAACATTTAGCATAATGATCACCATAACTCAGAGACGTTTATTTGTCCTTGTGAAGGTGAGCTGATGTTTGAGGTCAGACTGTGTGTGATTTACAGAGTAACTCTTTCACCGGGCCAGTTTGACCTGAACACACTCAGCGTGTGATTTGCATATGCAAAACTCTTAATGCCCCCCACCCCACCTAATGCACTGTGATTTATCACCATGCCAACAGGCAGCGGCTGGACGTTTGCCATGGCAACATAATGGGACGAGAGAGGGTTGAGCTAATGACAAGTAATGACAACCAGCAGAAAGATGGAGAGGCAAGCGTATGGAGAGAGAAAGTTTCTAACAGAGCGATCGTTCACTGAAACAACGATAATTCTGTCATTCTTCAATCACCTCATGATGTTCCAGTGCAATATATTTTCATTCATAGTGACCACGACTATCAAACTGTAAAACAGGACAAAAATAAACACCATAAAAGTTTCATATCATTAGTCTGTATTTTTCACATTTTTTGTAGTTTTCATATAGTGTCAAACACAAAATATTGCGACAGAGACCGAAGTATCAGCTCGTTGTGAATGAGTTTTAGTGTAACGCTGTCTTTCACACATTCAGATGATCAAATACTGATGTACTTCTCATCACAGAGGCGTTTGTCTGAATGTCTCCTGTTCTCACTGTGAGAAACACTCATGATGAGCGAATTACTGAACGACAGCGTTTAAATATTACACATGACAACGTCTCTACCATGATCATAGTGTGTTGTGAGTGGTTGCCAGGATGTTGCTATGGCATTTTAGGCGGTTTCAAGGGTGTTGCTATGGCATTTTAGGCGGTTTCAAGGGTGTTGCTATGGCATTTTAGGCAGTTTCAAGGGTGTTGCTATGGCATTTTAGGCGGTTTCAAGGGTGTTGCTATGGCATTTTAGGCGGTTTCAAGGATGTTGCTATGGCATTTTAGGCGGTTTCAAGGGTGTTGCTATGGCATTTTAGGCGGTTTCAAGGGTGTTGCTATGGCATTTTAGGCGGTTTC